GCTGTGTCCCGAGGAGGCCGAGCAGTACGTGGCCTACCTGCGCTCCGTGGGCCGCCTGGACGAGGCCGCGCAGGTGCTGGCCCGGCTGGTGAACGACGAGCGCTTCGTGTCCCGCCAGGGCAAGTCCAACTACCAGGTGGGCACCTGGGGGCACCTGGGCACACCTGGGGGGACACAGGGCACTTGGGGATTACATGGGGGCACCTGGGGGACAGCTAGGGGTACCTTCAGTGAAGCGTACCTGGCTTGGGAGGCACCTGGGGGGGCACAGGGCACCAGGGGTCAGTGAAGCGTACCTGGGCATACCTGGGGGGGCACCTGGGGGCACCTGGGCACACCTGGGGGGACACAGGGCACTTGGGGATTACATGGGGGCACCTGGGGGACAGCTAGGGGTACCTGGGGACAGCTGGAGGGCATTTGGGAGGCACCTGGGGACACCTGAGCACACCTGGGGGGGCACAGGGCACCTGGGGTCAGTGAAGTGTACCTGGGTATACCTGGGGGGCACCCAGGGGCACCTGAAGGACACCTGGGGGTACCTGGGCAGACCTGGGGGGACACAGGGCACCTGGGGGACAGCTAGGGGTCCCTGGGGACAGCTGGAGGGAGGGCTGGGGGCACCTGGGATACACCTGGGGTTACCGGGGGGGGGCACAGGGCACCTGGGGGGTGCGGGATTTCACGCAGGTGTTCGACAGCTACGCGCGCTTCGAGGAGAGCGTCATCGCCGCGCTGCTGGACACGCAGGCGCAGCTGGGCCACGGCCAGGACGGTGAGAGGGGGAACCCCAAAAACGGGCAGGGGACCCCGAAACTGGGGGACATCCCAAAAACGGGCAGGCTCAGCTGGGCCACGGCCAGGACGGTGAGAGGGGGAACCCCAAAAACGGGCAGGGGACCCCGAAACTGGGGGACATCCCAAAAACGGGCAGGCTCAGCTGGGCCACGGCCAGGACGGTGAGAGGGCACCCCAAAAACGGGGAGGACCCCAAAAACGGGCAGGCTCAGCTGGGACTCGGCCAGGAGGGGGAGAGGGCACCCCAAAAACGGACAGGGGACCCCAAAACGGGCAGGGACAGCTGGGATATGGCCAGGACGGTGAGAGGGCACCCCAAAAACGGACAGGGGACCCCAAAAACGGGCAGGGAACACCAAAACTGGGCAGGCACAGCTGGGCCAAGGCCAGGATGGTGAGAGGGCACCCCAAAAACGGGGGGGGGGCCCCAAAAACGGGGGGACCCCAAAAACGGGCAGGCACAGCTGGGACATGGCCAGGAGGGTGAGAGGGGCACCCCAAAAACGGACGGCACCCCAAAACTTGGGGACATCCCAAAAACGGATGGGGCACCCCAAAACTGGGGCAGGCACAACTGGGACACGACCAGGACAGTGAGAGCAGGGACCCCAAAAATGTGGGGGACCCCAAAAATGGGCAGGGCACCCCAAAAGCAGTCAGGCACAGCTGGGACACAGCCAGGATGGTGCAAGTGGGGAGCCCCGAAACGGGGGGGACCCCAAAATCAGGAGGTACCCCAAAAACGGGAGGGAACCCCAAACTGCTGCCAGGATGGTGCATCCAGGGAGCCCCAAAAACAGGCAGGAGACCCCAAAAGCAGGGGGACCCCAAAACTGGGTAGGGCACCCCAAACTGTGGGCAGGACAGTCCCTGATCCTGTGTCACCCTGTGTCACCCCTGTGACCCTGTGTCACCCTGTGTCACCCTGTGACCCTGTGTCCCCTCTGTCACCCTGTTCCCGCAGAGGAGGTGGAGCTGGAGCTGCGCCTGGCGCGCTTCGAGCGGCTGATGGCGCTGTGCCCGCGCTGTCCCTGTGTCCCCTGATCCTGTGTCACCGTGTGTCACCCCTGTGACCCTGTGTCCCCTGATCCCGTGTCACCCTGTGTCACCCCTGTGACCCTGTGTCCCCTGATCCCGTGTCACCCTGTGTCACCCCTGTGACCCTGTGTCCCCCCTGTCCCCGCAGAGGAGGTGGAGCTGGAGCTGCGCCTGGCGCGCTTCGAGCGGCTGATGGCGCGGCGGCCGCTGCTGCTGAACAGCGTGCTGCTGCGCCAGAACCCGCACAACGTGCACGAGTGGCACAAGAGGGTGGCCCTGCACCAGGGACAGCCCGACAAGGTGAGGGGACACCGGGGGACACCGGGGAACACCGGGGGACGTGGCTGGCTGGGTGGAGGGGACGCTGGGGGTTATGGGTGGGTGGTTTGGGGGGTTGGGTGGTGGCATTGCAGTGTCCGTGCTGTCCCTGTGTCGCCCCCGTGTCCCCAATGTCCCCCTGTGTCCTCAATCTCTCCACTGTCCACAATGTCCCCTGGCTGTCCCCAATGTCCCCGCTGTCCCCTCTGTCCCTGCTGTCCCCACTGTCCCCAATGTCCTGCTGTCCCTAATGTCTCCGCTGTCCCCTCTGTCCCCTCTGTCCCCGCTGTACTCTGTGTCCCTGCTGTCCCCGCTGTCCCCGCTGTCCCTAATGTCCCCTGCTATCTCCAATGTCCCCAATGTCCCCTCTGTCCCTGCTGTCCCTAATGTTCCCAATGTCCCCTCTGTCCCCGCTGTCTCCAATGTCCCCTGCTATCTCCAATGTCCCCAATGTCCCCTCTGTCCCTGCTGTCCCTAATGTCCCCTCTGTCCCCTCTGTCCCCGCTGTCCCAGATCATCCAGACGTTCACCGAGGCCGTGCGCACGGTGGATCCCCAGCGCGCCACCGGCCGCCCCCACGAGCTCTGGGTGGCCTTCGCGCGCTTCTACGAGGACAACGGGCAGCTGGACGACGTGAGGGACCCCCAGACCCCCCTGGGGACACCCCAGAACCCGCCTGGGACCCCCGATCCCTGAGGGACACCCCAGAACCCGCCTGGGGACACCCCAAAACCCGGGGACACCCCGAAACCCACCTGGGGGCACCCCAAAACCTGAGGACCCCCCAAAACCCGGGGACCCCCCAAAACCCACCTGGGAACACCCCAGAACCTGGGGACCCCCAAAACCTGCCTGGGGTCACCCCAAAACCTGCCTGGGGAAACCCCAAACCCGCCTGGGAACCCTGAACCCTGAGGGACACCCCAAAACCCCGAGGGACACCCCAGAACCCACCTGGGACCCCCGATCCCTGAGGGACACCCCAAACCCTGAGGGACCCCCAAACCTGGGGACACCCCAAAACTTGGGGACACCCCAAACCCTGAGGTTCACCCCAAACCTGGGGGA